ACAGTGCAGGTTCCGTCGGGGCCGGGGCGCCCCGCGAAGAAGCGCTCCGGCAGCCTCGGCAACCTGCCGCGGGGGGAAACAGGCCCTTCAGTGCGTTTTGCAGCTTGCTTTCCTCGCCGGCGCTGCTCCCCGCTTTGCCTTGCTGCGTTGTGCAGCTGCGAAGCCTCTGCGCAGGGCTTCTCATTTATTCACTTACTTATTTTTCCCCAGGCAACAAGGTTTACGTTCACCCCGAATCGCCCAACACCGGGGCTCACTGGATGAGGCAGGAGATCTCTTTTGGGAAGCTGAAGCTGACGAACAACAAAGGTGCTAACAACAACAACGCGCAGGTAAATCGGGAGTGGCCTCTGAATGGCGTCCGGGCAGTGCCGAGCGCTCGCGACGTTACTAATTGGGCTGCTAGGTCCTTGTGTTTGCGGTTTGTCCCCTTCTTAAAATAGATTGTAAGCCTTTTCTTTTCTAACCGACTTCCAAAGAAGAGGCAGTATCGGAAGTAGATGTGTGGATTTCCCTGTCTTTAGCTAATGTTTCTTTCTCTAGAGTAAAGCAAAAAACGGCGGTCTAGCTTACACCTTTTGATTTCCTAACGCGCTGCAGTCAAGCTGAGATCTGCAGCTTGTGAATTGTTGCCTCTTCAGAGCCAAAATCGTTTCATTCCCAAGTCAAAAGATTAAAAGATCTATTGTATAGCCTGACTCTTTTTAGTGTTGAATGCAATTTATCTGAACAACTTGTCTCTTGCCTGTTTTCTTCTAGATGATAGTACTGCAGTCTCTACACAAATATCAACCTCGGCTTCATATTGTAGAAGTGAGTGAAGATGGTGTTGAAGATTTGAATGATTCTTCGAAGACTCAAACGTTTATTTTTCCTGAAACGCAGTTCATAGCAGTTACGGCATATCAAAACACTGATGTAAGTATGTATATAAAATGAAAATTGATAAACTTAGGTGGCATGGGTTCAACATCTTACTATGTTTTGCTCTTTTTTTAAGATTACCCAGCTCAAAATTGATCATAATCCTTTTGCAAAAGGCTTCAGAGACAACTATGACTCGTAAGTACATTTCTCTTCTCTTGCGGCTGACTTTGCTGGGGAGACATGATTCTGGTCTGAATATTTGTGTGTAGAGAAACTCTACTGCTTCAGAATAAGTGTACCATGGAAATGTTTCTACTGGCAGCTTTGACAGCTGATGCAGTGCCTTCAGAGATATCAAACTTATGTCTGGAAAGATGATTTGAGTAGTTAATGCATTGTCTTGATCACCTGTTTTCCAGCTGGCTTCTGAATTTTGGTTAAATAAACTGGCAAAATCCTGTTGGCCTGAAGACTAGCAATGGTGTATCAAATATCTCCACAGAGCAGGCAACTTCTCCAAATTGTCACCGGAAGATCTGTCTAGTATTTCCATCCTGCTTACAAATGGCCTTTGAAAAGCTGTATATAGCTGTATATACACAAGTACAGCTTCTCAGAGGAAAATGCTGTGTGTCATTTAAAATGGGTGCCTGGCTGAGAACAGTGTATTTGTCACAGCAATGCGTTTGGGAACAACAACCCAAACTCCTAAATCAGATAAATAAAAATGGACTTCCAGTTAAACCAAGTTGTGTTTCTGATTCAGCAATAACTCAGTTTCTTCCCATTCACTTTTTTAGTACTAACTCTGGAACTGTAAAGAACAACACTCAGTATTTCTCTTTTATGTTGTAGCATGTACACAGCTTCAGAAAATGACAGATTAACTCCATCTCCCACGGATTCTCCTAGATCTCACCAGATTGTCCCTGGCGCCCGATACAGTGTGCAGCCCTTCTTCCAAGAACAGTTTGTCAACAACCTGCCCCCTGCCAGGTTTTACAATGGTGAGAGAACGGTACCTCAGACAAACGGCTTGCTCTCCCCACAGCAGAATGAAGAAATGGCCAGCCCTCCTCAGCGGTGGTTTGTTACTCCTGTGCAGCAGCCCAGTGCCAACAAATTGGACATGAACTCCTATGAGACGGAGTATTCTCCTAGCACCTTGCTCCCTTACGGCATTAAATCCCTTCCCCTTCAGACATCCCATGCTCTGGGATATTACCCTGATCCAACATTCCCATCCATGGCAGGCTGGGGGAGCAGAGGCTCTTACCAGAGGAAAATGACACCAGGATTACCTTGGACCTCCCGAACAAGTCCTCCAGGTTTCTCTGAAGACCAGCTTTCAAAGGAGAAGGTCAAAGAAGAAATAGGCTCATCCTGGATAGAGACTCCACCCTCCATAAAATCTCTAGATTCAAATGATTCTGGGGTCTACACGGGTGCTTGTAAGAGAAGACGACTCTCCCCTAGCACTTCAAGCAATGAAAATTCCCCGACTATGAAATGTGAGGACATTAATGCTGAGGACTATAGCAAAGACACTTCAAAAGGCATGGGCTACTATGCGTTCTATACTAGTTCTTAAAGCATTGTTTTATTTCGATTGGCTGGTTTTTTTCAGGGTGGCCTTGGGTTTTTTGCATTACAATTGCCAAAAAGACTCCTGCCTTCCACCTTGAATTGTTGTGTGCAATTCTAAAGAAGGTGCCAAAGCTTTTGACTGTTGCAGGTAACCAAGTAGGGAGAGAACAAATTATAACAAGTCTTAACTTCAGAAGGAACCACACATGGAAGCTGTAAGCATGAGCCTAGACTTTTACAATGCGGCTTATTTATTGGAGACACTAAAGTGTACAGTTAGACTTGGCTCAGAGGCCTGATGAAATCTCTGCACTCTGGAGCAGGAAATGGGGAGTTTGGATCCCAAATTTCACTTTCTTCCCTGCCTGCCCCTTTTGATGAAAGGGGGCTGGGTTGAGGGGAGGCTGCACAAGTGCTACATTCTGCTTTAGACTGAGCTGCAGCACAATTGGCTGAGTTGGATATTGCTCAGCTAGGGCTTTCTTCGGCAGAAGACAGCTAAAATAAGGCGTATATGCCCAGCAGGATTTGACTTGAAGCTCTTGTTGTTAATGTTGGGGTTGCAATGACCGAATTTGACTTTTGTTAGTCTAGGACTTGCATAAGGAAAAACAAGCCTCCATCCTGAAAGCCTGACCTTTTTTGAGGTGGCCAAAAAAAATTGAAGTGTACAGTTGTGTTTTGTCTAGGTACACTGTAGAATATTGTGGAATAATGTATAAATAGTCTACCTGTAGGAGTTCAGTTGGAAGGACCTCCAGTGGTGCTTTGAAGTTCTAAAGGCATTTTTTCTGATTAATCAAACTTAGCATACAGAGCGTTGCAAGTGCGTTGCTAAAAACGTTAACAGGTTTCTATTTGCGTGTAGGTAAAGTGACTTTTTCAGCTGCCCTGTATAAAATTGAAAGTGATGTAACTTACCCACTTTTATTGCCTATAGTTTCAGCCATTTTAAACTGATCAACCCTAGAGCACTGGCACACGTTTCTCCCAGTGAAACTTGGTTCTGTTTTTTTCCTATGTATATAGTAGTAATTTTTAATAAATGTGGTGGTGCCAGGGATAAGAGTGGGGGTGGTTCTCTGCTTCTTCTTTCCTGCTGTAGAGTGGCCCTGCGGGGGGGGGTTGGGAGGAGGGAGCACAAGTCCGGGAGTTTTGCAGTGCTGCAGCTCCTCGGCCAGGTAGGGAGTAGCGGTGGGGAGGCGCATCCCCGCGGAGAAGGGGGGTTGGGATGTTTTTTGACTCTAGCTGCCTCCTGGGCATGTTCTTCCTTGCATGAGCCTGAAGGTGCCTCTTCCTTCCCGGGCTGCGAGGCGGGAGCTG